GAATGTTATTTTACCAGCACAATTCTTTCATGTTTACCACACAGCTTTTGAACGGATTATTTCCTCCTTCTTCCAAAAATTCATTCATAAGATTACACACTGAAAAAGAAGTGCAGACCTGTGCATACTGCTATAAATAAAACCCTGCTCACCACTGCTCCAGTGGATAATACCACCGGACACTAAAGGCTATTTCCAGGTTTGGGGACCTTCTTGTCAGGACTCCCTTTGAGGCGCAGGATGAACTGAAGCACATGCTCTCTCACACACCAACAGACTCCAGCAGCTAAGCACCAATCTACACCAGCATGCAACCCAGCTGGAAGTGTTTTTGAAGGCTTAGTTGGACATTTGATTGCAAAATCATTTCATCGTCATAGCTTAAGAAGGTTACTCCTGTCAGGCTATGGCACTGCCTGTTGGTGTCCTATAGGACTTGTATAAAAGAGATGCTATGAAACCAAAGCAAAGTAGGAACCCTCAAGCCTTTGGTAACCTTTACTGCTCCTCAACGGTACGGGAAGCTGTCTGGCAAGCAGGTAGCTGATTATTCTCCAGCATCTTTTTCCTGTATCAGGTCACGATCCTCTTCAATAGTGTTTTGTATCAGTTTTGAGCTTGGTGTAAAGAAATGGTCTTTTTCTAAACAAATTAAAAGGATCAGTCTCAGGATTGGCCATTAGTGTGGAGAAGAAAATGTTGTGTTTTTAAGGACATATCCCATAATCTCTGATCAGGTTTGCAGGTTTCTTTAGTTGCTTCCTTAGAAAGAGGAGGAGTTCTAGGGACTGGGGAACTAAAGTGTTCACAATCTTGTAGCTCCCCTTTATCCCCCCAAACTCAGTTTTCATTGCTCTCAATCAACACGGGCCCACAAAGTCAATTTTGCAGAAATCAACCCATCATTGCCGTAAAGAAAATAAACAAAAAAGGCTAACTGTGTCTCCTGGAAGCTGCAGCTCTTCATAGCATCTCCCAAGCTCTGACCATTACAGCTCAAGTCTCCCAACGCCGCTTGCAGCCAAGCGTTGTCAGTGCTGTTAGCCCTCCGCGGCAGAAGTGGCCCTGCCTTGCAGAGGTGACGTGCACCCCCACCACTGCCTCCCGTCACTCTCATGCCTCCGCGCTGAAGGCTAAAGACAAAGTACGCATTTAGGCCCAGCAAGAGACTCAGCAGAGCTGATTGGCAACAGCCCCCCAGGCTTCAGACTGCAGAGCGGCTGCTCCAACCGTTTTTAGAAACTTAGAAATTCTCAGAATTTTTTAGAAAACAATTTAACCCACTTCTGCATTTTATTTTATCGCCATCTGTGAAATATCAAAAGGGAAGGCATAGGGAAGGGAGGAGGAAAAAAAAACAAAACAAAAAACTGGTTAATCCACACAGCAGAGACACGAAGGACGAGCAGAACAGTGTGGTGTGCTGAAGCAGACAGGCTCCCACACACCAGACCCTGCCATGCCAGCAGCATGGAGACAGCAGTCCAGTCCCCTCCAGTGCATAGCATCTGCGGTTTGGAGTTACAGCAGCACGGCACAGATGTCTGCCAAGTGAACTTGCAAACCTAAGATGCCCTCGAGGTGATAATGAACACCGTTTATTCGGGATGCTCCAAACCAGGTCCTGAACTGCTATCTGAAAACTTAAGCTGAATCTCTCACATTTTATTTATCCAATTACGATCCAACATTACAGAGATCTCCAAAACTGGGGGCAGGGGGAATCAATAGCACTAATATCCTACAAGAGCTAGAGACAAGGAGGATGTGCTTAGCACATCTGCCGTGCTTTTCTCAGTTTGAATCAGAGCCTTTAACATTCATTTTGTATATTAAATTAGACTTGTAGGAATCCACCTGAGCAATCACTGAGAGAGAGATCATGGAAACTTGTCTAACATGCAAGCGTCACACTGCCAGACTTAGCTTCACTTTTTCCGCCAATTGCAGTACAAACTCTGCACTCCTGTGGACAGGCACCTGTCCTTCCCCCGGATTAGGGCTTCACAAGCTTCACAGTCACATCACAACTTTTAATGCTGACTTCCAAAAGTCAGGCTGCACTCAGCAACAGCCTGAATCCAGAACAGCACTACTCAAAGCCTGCCGCTGTCCTGTAAGAGGACACCTCAAAAACTTCTAAATATTACCAGCCTTCCTGCTGTCCCAGGGCTGCAGTAGTCAAATGCCTTTATGGATCACTGACCACACGTGTAATCACCCTTATATAGGTACTGCTGACAACATAGCACACACCCACAAACTCTACTACTGCCAGGGACTGCCAGTAGGGTAAGGCAGGTTTTCTTCCACTCATGTAAGTTCCTATAAAGTCAAATAGTAGCATTACTATCCATGGAACAAGGCATGAAATATTTTTATTTCAGTACTTCCACATTTTCCCTGAGAGGGATTAACCTCACCAGCAAGAATATATGACTGGATGCCACTAGATGGGATCCAGAGAACCATTTTCCCCACTGAAATAGGAAGTGATTTGGAGGGGATGTGTGGAGAAGGAAGCAAAGGAAGTGTATGAGTAACGGGCTAGCGTCCTCCCTTATTTACCTGGAATGCAGCATGTATCTTCATCTTTCAATCATCAAGAATAATATTTGCACACTGAGCCTCAAAGGTTTTGGAGTGATTCATACATATCAAAGGGGAGACCTCTACAAGGTTATATTTAAGACTCACAGAGAATTTCTAAAACTGTTGGGAAACCTGACCTAGTATTCTTCATTACTGCTGACAGCTGCCAATTTCAGAACTTAATACACGGCTTCAACTTCCAACTCTTCATACAGATTCCTGATGATCTCAGAGTCTACTTTTCTCTTCTTATTCTTGGTCCCCATTCAGCAATGCACCTTCCAGTCCTTATACCAAAGCTTTACTTTTTGAATCCTGGTATTCAGCTCCTCATTAAGAGGAATGCTGTTGTCTCTTGTCTTTGCTATTGTCCTGAGCATTGTTTTTTGTTATAGTCAGAAGGCTAATTTTTCTAAAAAGCAGCGTAACTTTTTCTGTGCTGTCTACAAGAAATCATGCACATTAACAAGCGTACGAAGAAAAGGTAGGTCCCTGGGGCCATTGCCACTGACTAATGCTCTTCCTATTCCATTACTTACTGATTTATGCTTCTGGAAATACTAAGTTTGATACTAGAGCAAACCTTCCACAATTCATACTTTTTTGGGGAAAAGATACACACATCTTCCCATTGTGACACACTTTACCTCTGCCAACTGGAAGAGTGCCGACTTCCCACAGTGCTTTACTGGCTCAGGACTTGACAACTGGGAAGTATTTGATGAGATCTAGGTTTTAAATGAACAGAGGAGAAAATATTTCAGTGGCACAGAGGAAAGACAGAAAGGAAGGGAGAAAGAATGAAAAAATTAAGGAGTCAGTTAAATCAGTTACTTTTAGATCTTTCTGGCAGAAGGCCCTACTTGAGATAGGCAATCCCATCCAAGAAACATTTAACAGGCATTTAGAAGTCAGCAGGATACAAACAAATACAGAATTTCTTCCTTAGATTGGACTCATGGATTCTATTCTACGTTTGTATTGTCCACAGCTAACAGTCTATCATGTCGTGTGTTTTACGTGACTAAGTGAACAAGACATACCTGTTGCTTAAAAACATGAACTGTGGTGGTCAAGGTTAAATAAAATTCTCCTGGAAAGCCTGGGCAGTATTTCCCATTTGGTTAGATGTAGAAGAGGACCATTTGTCCTCACAGGCACTGCTTGTTTCACTTTCTTTAGTTAGAAAAAAAGAAATAAGACCTCACATCTGGAGATCAAATCTAGCCTTCTAAATAGACGTTGGTGTGCCAGCACCAGCGCTGAGTAAATAACTACCACCACACTTCAGGGAACTGCTTTTGCAGCCAAATTTTTTCTGACCTGCTTCCAAGTGCAGCATTATGAGTTCACCAACACAAGTATTAATCGTAATTTCTCATATTCGATCTTTTTTGGCATGGCATTACATGGTAATATTTGACCTGGAAGCCTTGAAAAGCCCTAAGATTAGGGGCAAGACCACGAGTGTTTCTGTGGCATCTGCCTCATCACAAAAATCACGCTTATGACCATGATCTTTCAGATTCAAAAATTATCAGCTTAGCCTTTCTCTTTAATGTTCTTCTTTTGAAGAGTTTACTTTCCAATTGTCAAGGAGATTCATTACACACCCCGCCCCCCCAATCCAGAACATCCATTTTACTGCAAGCTATTTAAAATACAGTGAACAATATTTGATTGTGCATTAATAATTTTTAGTATTAAAATAAAATAATTCAAAATCCTAGTTTTGCTTTGAGACAGTTCAGTGAACCTGCTCAGGACCCCACTGGAATAAGTGATCTTGTATACTGCACTTTGCAGGAAGAGGGCCTCAACTTTCTATCTTTCTACTGTAATAAATTCTCAGCTCTTAATGATTTTTTCAGTGCAATATGAATGGCGGAAAAGGGACAGAAAAATACCCACACACTGAAGTATAACCTGAGAACATGCAGGCATATCTTGCCTCCTCATGCACAACATAAGGAAAGGGTGAAGAATTTCGTTTTGACAACAGAATGGGTGCTCCTAACAAAATGCAAGCGAGATCCTTGTAGTACTAATAGAAAGAGAGGAATCCAACATTTCACTTCAGAAAAATTCTCTCAATAGTCAAGAAAACAAACTGCAAGAGACAAACTTCGAACGCATTCTGCCGAAGTTGCTGGCCAAACACCAGAAGCAGGAGGACGGCTGATCAATCAGCTCTCAGTGAGATTACAGATCTCATTCCCCGTCTTAACACCATCTTCCACTTTTAATTAGAATAATCAGAACCTGCAGTACTACAACCACAAATAGCCCCTTCTTATGTAGAGGTTTAACTTGGGGATCCTTAGGATCAAGTTATCATCTTTTATTACAATGCAGGTCAGCATTTTAGCTGCTATATTACATTCTAGTTTGCATAAGAAGCATGTGTCATGATACCACTTTTCATTCCCCTCCTAGAACAGGCATTTCACTTCAACACAGGTATTTAATAATTCAGGCAAACAGCAAATATATTTGTCTATTTTACGTAACGGTTTTACCTGGGAAGATTACAGATTTACCTAAGGGAAGGCTGGAAGAGAACATACTGACTAGCTCTCGCATTCCCAATTTCAAGGCATCTTGACTAAAAGTTTTTGATTCAAACCTTCTGTTCAGCACGGAAATAAACAGAAAGGGTCACCTGCAAGCCCACTCAAATTGAGTATGTGAGAATGCAGTAGGGACAAAATCATCCTCAAGCATGCATTTTTCTTAAATGATAGTAACCTGCTGGACTAGCAAAGAAAATCCCACCTTGTTGCATGCTGCATGCAATTGTTTGGTTGCTTTTTTTTTTGTTTTGGTTTGGTTTTTTGTTTGTTTTTGATTAAATCACCCAAAGAAAAATTTCAGAAAAAGCAGCTGAAAGTGAAGAGTTTGTGCTTTTTGGCTTCATTTTGTTTTTAAGATGGGTAAACTAGCAATTGTATTGCTTCCACTCTCAGGAAGCATTTTCTTAGTTTAATAACGGATGAGAGTTTAGCTAAGTAAATCTAAGAGGTACTCGTGTTTCTTCTCTATGAAGCAGTCATCACCATCTGTTCGCGTTTGCCAAACACACATCCAGTAAGACCAAGAGAGCAAGGGGTCCCATCTGCTCTGCTTCCCTCACATGGCAAGGAGGATGACAGCAACCAGCCCATGTGAGCAGACAGCTTGCAAACAGCCACCGTGCTAAGGAACACAGCCCACTGCTCAGAAATCACTGGCCTATATAATGGCTTTCCATAAAGGTACAAATGAGAAGGACGAAAGTAGGGCCGAGTATTTCCAAGATCAGAGCGGAAAGAGAAAGCCAAGAGTGTAACTTGGCAACACTCCAAATTTCAAAAACTCTTACAAGGACATCGCATCATCTTCCAAGACCTCCAAGGCGCTTGCCTGCGCACCCGCAGGACCCAACGAAGTCTTACTCCTGGGATTTTCATTATCTGTTGTGGCAAGTTGCTGGGCAGGCCTCATTAGCCATATCCTCAACAGCTTTAATTGAAGACTATAGCACTTGGGACAGACAAACAGATGAAAGGCTAAGTGAGGCTGTAAAGAAGAAAGATTTCCATGCTATGTCTACATATAATGAGCTGTTTCTGAGTGACAGGGAACTTGTACTCCTGGGGTAAAGGTGTCCATTTTAAATTACAAGTCTACTCAATGGGATTGCTGTCTTCACAAAGAGGCACTCTTACTCACCCTGCCGCAAAGCCAGCAAAGAGAAAGGGAACATATGAAGAACACCCAGTCAGAACCAAAACTGAGCTGGGATGTCTGCCAAAAGTCTCCAGGCACATCAGACCACAGCACACTTCACATTTCTTCACAGGTCTACTTGGCTACTGGCTAAATAACTACTTTCTCTCCCTCTCTCTTTTCTTTTGTAGCACGGTACATTGCTGACAACAGCCTACTGCAAATTGCTTACCATAATTTAGCTTACTAAATGCAGTAATGCGTTCATATACAGGACCCAGTAAGAAGTGGCACAGTAAGGAACGAGATTTTTGCCAAATCTGACAAAGACACCCTGTGCAAATGAAAGCCCTTATATTTGAAAGAGCACAAGCAGCTTTAATAGCGGGGGTGGAAAGCTTAAAGAGGTTCTGTAGCATGCTCAATACTTTCCCCGGAACAACCTAAATGAAATCAGGCTGTAATCTTACAAAAATGCCATTTCTCTATTGCTATAGATACAACATGATGTTAGTCACTGCCATTAAGGTTTCACAACGACAGTATAACAGAGGAGGAATAACCATGGCCAACAAGGGTTTTTTTTTGTTTTGGTTGGGTTTTTTTTGTTTGTTTGATTGTTTTTTTTGCTTTTCCAGATTTCTGTCCCTTATTTCCAGGTACTGAAAAAAACCAAAAAAAACACACCCCCCTCCAGATTGCACACACATTTTAATATTTTTACAAGAAAAAACAGATTAACCCTGACTTTAAAACTGTCCTCTCCAGTTTCTAATTAACTTTCTAAGCACTTCTACCTAACATTTGATGATTCATACATGTACTCCAATGTGCCAAGTGAGCTGGCTCAGCGTACTGGTATGCAACTCAATGCACTGGCACATCGGTATGACGATTTTCAGGTTTGTCATTTTGTTGTTTGTTCAATTAGGAGAGGAAATGATTCTAGGTTCTGTGAAATTTTGAAAGTATGGCTAAGTAAGGTTTTACATGACAACTTGAAAATGCTGTACTAAAGGCAATTCATACCCTGTTTAACTCTGCAGACATCTAAAATTGCTGTTCAATTAAAATGTAAGATGGCTAAGATTTTTGAAACTAAGTTAACAGATTCACTTGTGCAATATTTTGCAATAAAATTCACAAGAAATGTTTTCCAGCTTATATCTTTTACTTGGTTTAAAAGGTTGGCTTCAGCACATGGCTTCACCCTGCTCAATTCCACTAATTTTCTCAAAAGAACTTTCCAAGTTACCTTGTAGCTTTCAAAAAAGGTGGCACATATGAAAACATCTTCATGATTAGAGACATTAACTCTATTCTCTCTTTTATATGGGTGTTTGTAGTCAGGTATTCTACGGCACCTGAATCAGTAAATTGTGTTTTCTTAATTGGGCCTCCTAAGAAATACATCGAGGCCCATCCTAGCCAAGCTAAAAACACACAGTACACAATTAGCTTAACATTTAACAGAAAGAAGCATGCTGTATGTAGTCAAACCTCTGTAAGCACACAGAATAACAAACAGGGTATCTTTTCATCCCATTGTGCTCCTCCACAACAGCACCAGCTCCAATCCCAGTCTTTTCAGGCTCACCCTGAATATACCTTTAGCATAACCAATTCTGCAAGCAGTACCAGACTCCCCCAAATGGACAAGAAGAGTATATGTGTGGAAAGTCAATTCATAGAGGCACATTAAACACATGGGAGAAGAAATTCTTAAAAGCAATCTTTAAGAACTCCAAGTCTTCAATACGTGGAGGAAGGAGGAGAGCTTACATACGTATGGGTAATTTATAGGCTTTATAAGTCACTACCTAATGATGTTACATATCCTTGTAGCTGTTGTGATAAGCTTCCTTTGAAGAATACTGAAGAATAACCTTCCCTGCAAGGTTATTCTTCAATGGATTCCTGCCTCTAGGGGAGTTGCCATTTTGCACTGCTGCAGCCTCTTCCATAGGCAGTGCATAGTGCCATTTCAGAATGTCTTTTATTTGTTGTTTTCCTAGTTGTAAATTAAAAGGCCATTTAGAAAATATGTCTGCAGTGGTCTTTTGGTATGGAAGGCCAGGTAATGTTCACAAGCCCAGTATCTTCTGTGCATGCTACAGCTGGTAGTACTGGCCAACATCTCACCCCATCACTGGTTATTCCCCCCACAATAACACAATGCTGTCATGAAGATAAACATCTACTGATGGAAACCCCTTATAAGATAGGGTGCTTAGCCATTCAGTGACAACTCTTACTGGTTCCTTGCTTCCTCCCATCCTCCCCCCACCATATTTCAGCCATTATACCTCAGCAAACTGAAACAACGCAGACTCCTCAGTTTGTTTTACAGCTCCCGGGACTCCAGGCTGTGATGTGCATGAAGAGATCTGTCAGGAAAACAATTATGTTTGTATTACCTAACTCTTCAGTTTCAGTATCAAACTTCAACGTGCTAAATGTCTGATCCATGACACAGAAAGACTCCTGGTATCTAAGAGCATGCAAAAGAGTCCCAGCACACCTGTACAAAGAAGAGTATCCGCTTTCCAGGAGACACATAAACGGGTGACCCATGAAATGGTGATCCTGAATTATTTTTCACAAGGAAAATCTTTCCTAGGATCACTGAAACAGGCTAAGGCTTTTTTGAACGGCTTTTATTTGCCCACTGATATGTCAAAAGAGGGTTAGCAACAAGAACTTAACACTACATTGTATTTCACAGTTCAGTGAAAGACCCGGGACTGCAGAATGGTGGTACTGACAGAGCACAAACTGCTTCTTAGCAAGGAAGGTAAGTGTGGACAGGGACACAATGCGTGCAGGTACTTTGAGATACCAGATCTATCCCAGACACTAATGTAACCGCATTTTATACTGTTTAACTTGTGTCAATTATTTTTGTTGCAAATGACACATCTGATTAATGTTAGACCTTGGTACAAGTACCAATTATTTTGCCACTGACACACGTACCTACCATGCACTGGTTACGTGCAGCCTCACTACAGGCTCTTTAATATCCTTGAGAAGTCAGACTAGCTAATATGCATTTCTAATTACTGATCATCAGTGAGCTACTTCTAAACTGGTGCAGATGAGCTTGCCCCCTGGCACCCATTGAAGTTCTTTGAGGTGTAAAGAAAAGCCAGGAGTCACAAGCCCTTAGCAAGAGCCTATCTTGCAGCCCACAATTCCTGCCTACTACCACGTGGCTCTGGCATTTTTCTGCTTGGGCACTGTAAAATGAACTGAAACAATTAAGTGAGCTGGTCTTACTCTTTGAAAGACTTAGCAGTGAAATTCAAGAAACAGACCGTTATCAAGAGGAACTATACAGAGTATGACATTGCTTAACTGACAGTATCAGTATGCAAAAGCATCTTAGAAATACTGGAAGATGGATGATGAATTATTGCCATAGAAGTATCACAAGTGACACTGCAATGAACCAATTTTAAGAAGCTTCTACGTATTGCTTTTCACTGCTGGCACACCGGGCATTTCCTCTTCCTAACAAGATAAGCCAGCAGGTTGTTTAAGAGCCTAATTACAGGTTATGTATTTCACTGTGGCCATTACCTTTAATGAGAAATAAAGGATCAGTGCTTTATTTCTAATACATTTTGAAAGCCTCAAATCTTAAGTTGGAACTCAAAGTCTTGTGGGTTGATGTTAAAACAAACAAAACCCAAACCAAATCACATTTTCTGTGTGCTAGGATTGCAATGTATCTGTTCCATAAGTGATGTTTAGGGAGGAGTATGAAGGTGCACATAGCAGTGAGTATTAAAGACATGGGAGACAGATTCACGGCTGGTGTGAAAACAAGGTAATAAAAAGAAGCCCCTGCTATGATAAAATTTCTTTCCATATGCATTTACTCAAACACCACCCAGCATCCTGTACAATCAATATTTATACAGCTAAATATTTATGTGTCACTTGATTGTGATCATTTCAAAAGTTGCAAAGATATAAACAAGCAAGTAAGGCTTGCAGAGGACCAGGATTCTTCGCAACCTCATTCTTATGGTGTTAGTTATATCAATGAAATCCATTAAAACTTGGATGAAATAGTGTATACTTTAAAACAAACAAACAAACAAACAAACCAAACAAACCCAATAACAAAACTACCACAGTTGCACTTCTAGCAATAACTGGAAATACGCTGACAAAAACGTTGTACGTTGCAAAGCTAAAGCATAGTTGCATAGAGCTATTTGGTGGTTATAGAAAAGAAGAAAATTCTGGAAATTCCAGAACTACAGTTATTTTTGATTGAGTCAGCGACTAAAGCAGCCACAATAGATAAAGGACATAATAAAACATCCAAATATACATGTTAAAACTTTAGTAAGACACTAGTTTAAAACTAAGCACAGGAATGACACGTCTCTCAATTACTGCTTAAACCACAGCTCCATTATTGCACTAGGGTTTCTACCATGTTCCTAAACATACTCTCCTGTGCTTCCAGTCTGACCTATCTACCTGATAAATGATCCAGTACCATAAACCCAAAAAGAAGAAACAAATAAAAGCATGAATTTTAGCTAAAGATTTTTAATTTCTCTTTCAGCTGAACATCAGATGCTTCCCAAAGTGAAAACACTGGGGAAGACAACCCTTTTTAAAGAAACTCACCTCTGCAAACTGAAATAATGATGACTTCTGACAGGTTTCCGTAGAATTAGTTGCATCAGATTGGCAAGTACTTGAGGAAACCTGAAACAAGGAGTGTGCAGAGTAAGACCTCAAAGGTGCTTCTTTCAAACTACGAACAACAGTGAGCAAAGCAAAATAGTGGGCAGCAGTAACAAGAAGCAGTGTTTAAGAGAAGATGGGCAATCTAATGTTTCACAGTCCTGGACAGGTTAAATCAAATTTATAGGTGAAAATGCATTCTAATGCATTTGAAAATCACCTAAGAAGAAAGACCACAAGAATACCAGGTGTCTTTTTTTTCTTTTATAATTCCAAACTTTGCCAAAGAGTTTTATGCAACAGAATAGTAAACTGATGATATTGGGCTACACACACAACTACCTTGTGTTGGTGATGCTATCACCACTGCTGTATCTGTAATTTGTACTACCATTCTGAATACGAAAATTACTTACAAACTAAAAAAAAAAAAAAAAGTTAAGGGTACCACAAGCCTCAAATTGCTCACATAATGTACCTAAACACCCATTTAGGGGTGCTTAAAAGAAACAGTGCAAGAAAGAGTCGTAACTTCTGAAATCAAAATACAATGAAATAACTGTTCAAAAATGACAGCCTTATTTGAATTAACACAAAGCTTAGCCGTACTATTCTTATTAGCCAGAAATGTGTTAATCAAGCATCATTCTGTAAAGGAATTGTATCAAATATGATACATTCATTAAATGTCACGTTTGAGTGTAAAAGATTTACATGCATAACTCCTAGAAGCATAAGGTACTCTTAGTATAAAATAAGGTATGTAGCATGGCTTATAGGAAACAGAAGAAAGGAAGGAGGCTTTGTGAGATTTTAGAAAAAGTAACAGGATGGATTTTTTTTCCCCTAACCATTTTAAATTTTTAATGAATTTTCAGTTTATTTAAAACATTTTGATGCAGATTTTTTTTCTTTTATTTATTACCAAAACAAGTATGTCAATAGCATGTATTAGTGAACGCACACACGAGATTTAGCTAGCAACTGCATCTGTTGCCGGTAAGCACAAAGCACCACAGAATAAGCAGGCCTACAGCACACGCAGTTTGTACTGCTGCTCCTGCTGCTGTTTGTCCAAAATGCTTAAGCACTGCAACAGCACCAGTGGCATTTTGTTTCAGAAATCTGCTACCCATGCTCCCCTGAAAACACTAAATCCAAGTGTAGCAACCCACAGGCCAAGGGGAACTATACTGCACAACAATTTGCTTATGTACACAATCAAACTTGTTTCTTCCCTGCCATAAAACCAAGCAGTAACAGTGCCTCCATTATACTTATTAAACACCAAGCAGGATGTTTTATCAGTGTACTATGGGAGTATACCAACCCAAAGGGTTACAAAGAATGTCTTTTTAATGCCTGTTTTTTGCTTTTTCAATGGTTTGTGTTACTGTTTTCACTGATGTTATGTTTATTACTGCTTTTCTCATGTTTCTGTATGATCTGTTTAAGACGTCTGTGCCTCGGCAGTGGTGTGGATTGTACCAGGGACGCATGCCGATCTTGCTGCTGTCAAGTGACCCGTCTCTGAAGGTCTGAGTCTCTGCACTGGTGTGAAATATATAAGGATGCAGCTTGCATGTCCAGCACAGCTTGTTCACCTTGTAGTACAGGAACTGCAAGCCGTGGAAGGTGTGAAGCCCGGTTTCCTACAGCTTTGTGCGTAAAGAACAGATTGCCGGTGCCCAGTAACTGGGAGGAGATTTTGTGATTAGAACAACCATACTTTTCCTATCAATTTCTGTTATCTTTCCAAAATGACTGCTGTTGCCTTTGCTTGACAGGAGCACTAATTTGAGCTTGTCTCTTCTACTCTGCTGCTCCTCACACACTCCTGACTTGTGGGAAATTTATTATCTCCAGGACTTCTAACCTCTGCTGGGCTGAACCTGATCAAAGCCTTAAAATAATTACCGGAGGGAATGGATGCACAGATAATGCCACTGCATACGTCTCATTTCCTTCTGTAATAAAATGGCCTCAACATCTCCCATTTCTTCTCCTCTTTCCTCCTCTTAGCTCTACCTTCAGCTGCACCAAGAGATTTTTCACTTCCAATCAACACCCTGGGCATACCACCCTGCGCAGACCCGGCATCGCACACAAGATAACCTTTTGTTCTCAAAGAGAAGGAAACCGCAAGGATAACGCCTCCGTAGCCTCCCTTTCCCCGCAGGTTACCCTAACCGGCTCTAAGACGGATCACGCCGAAGGAAGGCGAAAGACAGCCCCTGGCTCACCTTCCACACGGACTGATGCCAGGCTTTAATGCCGCCCTGATATCAGTGCCGGGCAGCGGCAAGGAGGGAAACTGGTACAAGAGCCAGGTTTTGGACTACGCTACAAGTTCTGGGATTTCTGGGCAGTAACGTACAGACAGGCCACTAGGTGCTGCTGTAAGGCAAGCAAAGGGCCCGACAGGACAGTAAGCGAGATGTGGGGGCTAGGAGCGCTCCTCACCCAGATTCAGCCTTTCTGCTAATAAACCTGCCGTGAGGACCAGGCTTTGCCTAGCACAACGACAGTAGCTGGAGCAGACCTGTCTGGCGCTTCTGCTCGGGTGTTCAACAAAATATACTCGTGTTCACATCGTAGGAACTGATGTGAGGACCCACAGGTCTGTAACTTCTCTTGCCTATCTGCTTAGTAACTCCAGCCACTGCTTGGAAATCAATCCTGTACCAACACTGAGTTATGTTATCAGAAGAAAAACTCTACAGTCTATTGAAAAAAAATTACAAAAATAGGAACATAACCAGCGACATACAGAGATTATTATTCAAGTATCATTTCCCCCATCTTCTCCCAAGTTCTGAGCAAACTATGCCAGTGCTGCCCTCTTGTCTATTAACAATTTTTAAGATGATAATAGTATTTAAGACCTATGCTTACAAGGCCACCCGAGTCTGCATAGTCATACATATGCATAAGCAGTCAAACTGCATGTTGACAGGTAATCTTATGTCTGGTGGTCCCCCAGTTTAAGAACCATACACATGCATGTGTATCTTACAGTACACACACACACTTTAATGATAATGAAGACTACATGGTATCATTTAGAGTATTCCTTTAAAAATGACACTGCATCTGTCTTTTTTTTTTTAATAGAAATGCCATAGTTTTAGATATACGACATATATTTATATACTTACATGCTCATAAAAACAATACCTATATTTTCCATAGTTAAGCAACTTTTCAACCTCTTCACTGACAACACCTCAGCAGTCACCTTAGCACACCAAATTCTCCCCCATGTCAATACCAACTCTAACACAACACAACTAACCCCCCTCCACTGAAGAGGAAAGCAGCTTACTAACTCTACAATGAATTCTTGAGCTTCTTACTGAGCCTGTCATACCACCTCCTAGCATGTTCTGCAAACCTCCCAAACACTGGTTTGAGCGTGAAACTGTTTTCAAGCATAAGCATGGAAATTGAACTACAGGCTGTCCCATAGGCATGCAAAGATCACCACCTTACGGCTACCCTGTCCACACACCCAAGGATGGGAAGCCAGAAGTGCTGTTCAGTTATCCAAGTCTAAGTAGGTCTAGGATCTTTACTGCATTTGGGGAAACACAAGCCTAAGAAATATTTGCTCCATATCTAATCACCACTGAAACACTGAATCAAAAGGAAACAAAGGAAAACGGAAGACAGACCAGGGGCTGCCAGGCAAAGAAACCAAGGAAGTTCCCCAGTGCACAGAAACACAGCTGGAGACTTAACTCCTGCTGACACACAGTTAGGAGGACTGAACTTCATCCATTTGGGTCCCTTTTGAGAATATCAAGCACCCAGATTGTTCTGGAGAATGTATTTTACACAGGGGACCCTCTGAAAGAACTGGAGATGTGCAGTTTTGTTCCCTGGGAAAGTGCTCTGACGCTTACCTGCTTCTCAGACAGTGTAGGACAATTACAATAATGGTAACTGATTAGTAAGTATGGGCTAATTTCTGGCCCAGCATGACTCTAGTGACAGCCAACAAATCCCTCAACTAGTTTTCTTCAGGCTGCATTTATGACAATTATTTTGCTCTGCATTTTGGGGGAAAGCAGATTATACAGCTTGCCTCTTTGATGTGGAGGGCCGGGTTTCAAAAGAAGACTACAGGCCCCAAAGAGCACAGCCATAGCATAGCTTATACATGAAGTAAATAGTACATCACAAGCCATATTGCATGCTTCTATCAGAAAAAATGGGGTTTATGTAGGCGCACGGGAAATGCGTCTCTTGGCTCAAAAAAGGAAAATCCTGATTAAAGAAACGTTCATATACCAAAACAATCACACAACATCCTTTTTGATTTGTCTCCAAATCCACGTGTAGATTTTATTCCTTCACTGCCATCTGAAATGGTACTGCTTGACACACTTTTCATGTAAAACCAAGAAAGCTCAACTCACAAGGTCATAGCAAAGAACTCAGACCAAACACCTTAATGGAACTGAGTATCTGTGACTATAATAGACCTTCCCTCTCATTTAAACATAACAGCAGAGTAGAAGACACTTTTTAAACTCCAAGCTGAGAGATACAAAGTTTGAAAACTACAGGACATTCTCATTTTAGCACAAAATAATCAATTTCTTTTCACTTCTCTGCCAACCTTACCCTAGTGTTTCTTATTTTTCATGCTACAGCACAGAAAGCCAGTACCCACATCTACACAAAGACTGCCATTGCTCAAACCAGCGTGCAAAGCATTGAGGAGTCTTGGCTCAGTCTTGGCAGTACAGGAGCAATCCATCTCAAATGCACTACACCTTTTGCATTTGGGGATATCACATATACATAGTTAATTATTGCTTTTCCTCCCAATAACAACAAAAAAAAGAAAAAAAGAAACCTTCCTCACTTCCACGGCTCTTCTTTCCAGGCTAGAGATTTATGGCAGTGACTACCTATTTTACCCAAGATACAAGCCCCCTTTTGAACAATTGTCAAAACTGGCCCAAAAAATAGATCACAAATAATAATCAGTCTAAATAAAGACCAGAGGTCTCTGCACTACCAAATATGCAGGAACAATTTTATTTACTAGACTGCTTCGTAAAAACAAAATGCTTGTGATGGCAACTTAACTACAAACTTCTTTTTAGACATAAAGACTTGGTGAATATCAGTAGACTGCAATACTTTGATTACTTGTTAGCAGTTGCATGGTTTCAGAATGCATACATAATGACATTGACTGTACGGAAATTATTAGATATTTATTTTGCGATTAGTGCGAAGGCCACAACTGTGTGAGGCATTGCACAAGCATATGAAATCCTTGCCCAAAAGAGCTTGCAAACCACCTGTTAACACAGTCACTGTATTTCAACCCTTCCACCTGTGACAATATCCTCTCAGGGGCAGACTTGCCTGGTCTGATAAAATATTCAGTCAGCGAAGTTAGTATTGAACCGATAAAAAAAACTGGGCCAACCTCTACGTTCACAGTTGGGATACAAGACTCATATCACAAGGCTCACACTTCAGTCCCACCTGAGGTTACCCAAGATGTATCTTAAATTTAATCTCCCACTGGTCAAATATTCCTCTTTAGATCTCTCTTTAAACTGAGGGCTCGTGGCAAGGGAGAGAAGAGAGTTCCTTACCTCTTGTGCAGTCAGGGCATGTTCCCCTGCTAGAAGCAGCATACTCAGGCCTCCCATTTGTGTAGGATCTGTTAAAAGAGTAACACCAAATCTTAAGTTTATTCATTTGCTTGTTTAAAGAACCTACCATTTGCAGTGTTAAACCCCCAGAAGACTACTTGTCACAGACACTCTAAGCAAGCTGCCATAAAAGGCAGTTCAAGAGAATCACAAATAACCATTTCTGTACCCTCTGGGAGAGGCTTTCAAAGCTGTTTGAAGGATTTAATTGGATTTGTGTGCTTAACACCCCATTGCGTGGATTTACAATTTTACTGCCAAAGGTTTTATGTACTACAGAGATGGATATCTTTAAAAACAGCAACTGTAATGATCTCATACATAAATATACACAAAGATGCTCTAATATCACACGTTTATAACTCAATGGATGCTCCTACTGAGGGAGTGGTTCCCTTCCTTAGCCACTGAACAAGTAAAAGGATGGAACAAAATGACACGATCAAGCTCTGAAGCAAAATTTCTATTTTCATTTAGCTTTAATTTAGAGCTGTGTTTAGTGGTGAAAAGTGCCAGCCTGACAGCTCTGAAGCATGAAGTGTTGATCCTCTGTGCCAGAACAGCACAGGCACTGGCCAGGCAAGCTGCCTGCATACTTGTTGCCCTGCCAATACAATATATAATTGAGGAAAGTAAAATGGAGATATAAATGTTCTTTCTGCAAGTATTTGATGCTGACAGCTTCTTGCCTCCAGCCTTCCCGCACCTCAGGAGCTCGGAAAGCGACAACAAGAAGTGAAAGCAATGAACACTGGCACTGCATTACTCATGGACTGGCTTTTCCACTCAGAACAGTGGTTGCTCTTCATCATTATGAAGACTAATTGTCTGATTTTGGGGGAGTGCCTTGGAAGCAATGCAGGGGCCCGATTTAACAGAGTGTCACGGAGAGAGAGACAGACAGAGAGTCTGTGGCCCAAATGTCTCACACAACAGCCACAATATGAGAGAAAGGGAAGCATTAGCCTTGCTGTATTGCTGAGATGTCAACTTCAGTAACGATGAGACACCGAAGATAAGTAACTTCCCCCAGGTTTCACTAAGCGTGCACTCACAGTTTCCAATTTCCTTTCACTAAACTATACAAAACCTCTCTCTACAACAATAAATTACCCGTGTCCAGGACCACTCCCTGGAATGGAGGCCAACTGGCACAATTACCCTCATCCATTTGGTTGCATTTTGTTATGCAAAATTTGGATGCAGAATAGCTGCATCCAAAACGTCCACTGGGAAATCCCCTGGCCCATTTCCACTCATGAGCAGTGCCGAGGAATCTGTTGAGCTTTTCAGCTGAAGCGGGCCAAACCTGTACATGTAAACCTCCAAATGACTTAGTGCTACAGATGATCAAGATCCAGTTCACAGGAATACTCACTGGTGCTGTTTAATTCAATACCACAGATGCTGCCTGTTGTGGTTTAACCCAGCAGGCAGCTAAACACCACACAGCTGTTTGCTCACTTCCCCCCTCCACCCAGTGGGATGGAGAAAACAAGTGATCCACAGTGCAATTGCTCACCACCTGCTGACTGATGCCCAGCCAGTCCCTGAGCAGCAGTTGCCGTCGCCGTCCCCTGGCCAGCTTCCCCGGTTTATATACTGGGCATGACCTCACATGGTATGGCACAGCCCTGTGGCCGATCTGGGTCAGCTGTCCTGGCTGTGCCCCCTCCCAGCTTCTTGTGCACCGGGCAGAGCAGGGGAAGTCGATAAGTCCTTGACTGGTGTAAGCACTGCTTAGCAATAACTAAACCATCAGTGTGTTATCAACATTATTCTCATGCTAAATCCAAAACACAGCACTATACCAGCTACTAGGAAGAAAATCAACTATCTCAGCCAAAACCAGGACACTGCCAAAAGTTCTCCCTCAGATAGCACCTCACACTGACATTGACAGGGTAAGCTTTTTCAGTACTCTCAAAACAGCAGTAAAAAGAACCAGAGGAAAGCAGTGTGAATAAACCAGGCTCATCCCTTATCATAGAAGAGTGGTTCATTATCTTAAGAATACAGCCTAAATAGCATCTGGCTTCAAACCCAATGTTCAACTGGAATTAATTTTTTCCTTTACCATAATAAACAGGTAGAAGATGTGTGTGGGGTTTTTTGTAATTTTGGGGGGTTTTTGGAGGTTTTGTTTTGTTTTTAAACTTTTAAATAAAAAAGATATTAAGTTTCTACAAAGAGACGAGGCACTATCAGAAGCGTAGAATCTAGTAACAAGAAGTGGTTGAAGAAATGGAGACAGAAAATGGGAAGGGCCAGAAAGTACCTAAGCACAATTCGTAAATGAAGCGATCCTGTCAGCACAGCACTTTTTGCCAGCAAAATACTTGATCAGAAGTTCAGTCCTTCAAACAGTAGGACAGCAGAGCAATTAAGAAGTTACAAGTAAACACATATCGTGAAACATAATGCCTAAGCAGGCAGTTAATCTGGAGGAAAAAGAGATGGGAAGAGACCTCCAGGCCCATCATAAACTTACTAAGCTCCATATTAACCAGCAAGGGCTTGGCTGGTTGCTTTCTACTTTCTTTATTCCCATCGGAAGGCTGTTGCAGAACCCAGATCTTCTAAGCATTAAGAGCTTTCTTCCAGTTTTCAGCTTCAATTTACTCAGGGCCAGGTGGTACACATTTTTTCTGGTGCCCACATCTTTAAGATTAAATAACTGTTCTCCCTAAATGGTATTTCCCTCTTCTGTGTTTACAGGAGTCACCCTACTCTTCTTCCACTTGCTTTCCCAGCCTCAGCAAATCAAGATCTCCTGATATCATCAAGCATGTCCATCTCCCACAGTCCCAGCGATCCCTGTAGCTCTCCTCTCCAGTTATTCCAGGTAGAATTCATCTTTCTTGTACGTGAATGACCAGAATTATCAGACCAACCATGTCAGATGAGCTGTGCTCTGTTCAATGGCATTAACTCTTCTCTACAGTTCCTGAAAACACTTTGCCTGACACACTGCAGTACAGCACTTTCTTATGCCCACATCACACTGATGACTCCCAACTGCTCTCTTGTGCATCACGTTAGTTGCCTGCGGGTCATCTTCTGCCTCCTCAGTTTTGGTCAACTGGAGAACATCCAGCTTATGGCTCCAAAATTCTTCCCCCTCATCTAAATATCTTCTTGGGGGTCTCAGCTTTCTGCCCTTCAACTAAGTAGCTTATCATAACAGGACAAGGATAGGACTGTTTTTTCCCCAAGTAAGCGAACACTTAAACTGTTTATTTAAATACAAAAATTAAGAGGAAGGAAAAAAATGACAGCTAAGTGGAAAGTAAAAGTTTAATTTAGTGCTTAAACAACTTTAATACTTATGCTGCAGCTGTAGCAGAGGGCTAGCATTTAGATGTCTGATCACGATAGAAACAAAAATCCTTCCACTAAGGTTTCAAATTACAAAATAATTTCATCTAAGGGAAGATAAAATGTACATATGCAAACACTGCCATATGTTTATAGTGCCTTCTCAGCACAACAATGTTTCTCTTATGGCACTCAGAACTTGCTGGTATGAAAAATTAAGAATTTTAATTGCTATTTTAAAGCAATTTACAGTTAAATCAACAGTAGTGAGAAAACAGTACACGTATTTGACTTGCAGAATAGGAGGCGATTCGTGACTTTCTCAACAGCTTTTAATATTGATGAAACTTAAAGCCATCTCACTATTTGGGAATGACATACTTTGTTAGTATTAGTCTGGTTAGAGACTCAGCAGGCTGGCTTGCTCATCATTGCAATTTTTCAGTCAGAGGAAAGAAAGAACTGAGGAAGAACTAAGCAGAAAGGTGGCCAGCAGGTACCATTTCAACTGACTTTTACCTGGGTGCAGAATTAAGGTTCTTTCTAAAAAACAAAAATTGTATCTCTGTCAGGATATTGCCTACTCTGGGAAGTGTCTTTTTTCCACCCTTTGCTTCACTACAAAGCTTTTTGGCTCAGATATTTTCACTTTTCTGCGTCAGAAGAAAACTATTGGGAATCTTGCGCATTTGTGTAACAAAGCTGTTGCTCACTTAGCTCTGAAGTTGTGAGGGTAGATGCTGCAATGGTCACGTTCACCGGCGAACAGAAGTTGTCTTTGCCCTACGCCCTACAACAGATCACAGGTGAGCCATGCCATGAAAAAACCATGCTCAGTTACAACTTCCAGGCTGGATGAGCGGGGACTCCGCTAGTGGGTCTGCAGGTCAGAAGCCCAATGCTGCTGCCACACCTCAGGTTCTTGACACAATGGTAGGTCAACACAAGAGGCTTGAAAGTGGGGTGGTGATTGTTGGAATGCCAAAAAAAAAAAAAAAAAAAAAAAGGAGAGCTATGGCCTGTGTGGGACTTAAAGGAAGATCTTACTCTCTACATACCACATCTTCCAAAATGAAATGTAATATGTAAAAAGCAATCAAGACAGGATGAACAACTATGAACAAGTAAAACTTATTTCCTGGAATGATTCTGGAATCATATAATTCCTGTCCTAAGGAAGCTATCTGCCTTGAAGACGCAAGACAGTCAGTAGCATTTCAAAGGTAAAAGTGTTCCTGAGGTGGTTCAGCTCCATTTTAGTTCATTAGCTAGTATACAGCCTGGATTTTAAAAGAGGTTGTGCTGGATGGAAGAGTCAGGGTTGAACTGAACTACCACATGAAGTCAAGGAGAGGAGAACACAACAAAACATATTTAGCACGAACTGGTGTATAGTTGACAAAACAGTAATCCATTTGGCATGGCAGACTTGTCATGATTTGGATGCTGCTAACATCTCTGTCAGAAGCTGTTATTTTATGAGCTATTGTTATACGCAAGAAATAGCCAGCCTTCACTGGCATGAGGACTGGAGTGAGGCCCCTCTGAATTACTATGCTCACTGACTCAACCTGCAGTTAAAAAAAAAAAAAATTAAACCACATGTAGCACAAAAGGGCCTTTAGAAATGAATAGCTCTACAGATAAAACAATGGATTAGATTAGTTTCTAATTAATTCTTAAGTTCTCTGTCCTCTGCTCTGACAGGTGTTGATTCAAGATCCCTCTGTACTCAGAAACTCTACATCTGGATAGCCCAGCAGAAGCGGTGGGGGACGGCAGACCGGTAGACCAAGGCCTATTACCTGTTCTTTGTGTTAAGTCAATAAACCTGTAAGGAGTATAGAAGTTACTCCTCTGATAGCAAAAAGCAGAACGGGATGAAGGGGCTTGCGATTTTTAGAGCTGGTCTCCCATATATCGTAACTATGTAGCACAAAAAACTTTATTTCGGTCACATTTCACAATTCCTTCATAGCCAGAAGGAATTTCATTACAGGAATTTTCATACCCCTATACTGGCAAAAAGGTAAACATGCGTTTTAACCCCTTTTTATCCTTTTACACTTGTTCCATAAAACCATTTTCCACTCTCCAGCTCACGATCTCTCTAAGCAGAAAAGTCCTATCTACCACGCAGTCATAAAATAGGTAGGATATGACAAAGTTTCAAATACATCAGTATTTGTAAAATTAGAAGCTTCAAACAAAAACAAACAAACAAAAAAAAGGGTGGTGGGGAAAAAAATTATGTTCTACCTTGACTGTTAGGTTCTTGAGCTACCAGTATTTAACATTAATGTCTCTGTATTTCAAGGTCATGATTGCAACAGTTCTGCTATTTGTGGATATCAGCGAGAGATTATCTGCCTTTCACCAGTTCAGGCGCTCCACCTACACTTATTCACAGATTTTTTTGGTTTTTTATTTTTTTTTAATGTGTAAAAGGTTAGAATCCTCCCCTCCAAGGGGAAGGCAAAAGAGCATATTTTAAGTGAAATTAAATTATTCTTCATTTAAATACAAAAAGTTAGCTCCAGCAGCACATTCATCCACAAGAACATTAACACCTCAAACTTCATAGACACCCATAAATTATTTGTGTAAACAACAAATTACTAAACATAGTACAACACTCTACGAAAGAGACAAAGCATGCACACAATCAGCATTTTCCTTTTTGCCTAGAAAATGAAAATCTCGAACAGCAGATAAGCTGGAATTAAAAATCAATCAAATCTGGACCCCAAATGGGGTATGGTTTATGATGCCACATTTCTGGACTTGACTCTTGAAAGCAATCATGCATTAAGGAGAATTTTAGAAAGTTGTTATGCAGAGGTTTAACTAGTCTTGGCAACCTAATTCAGGACATGGAAAGTTATTTGCACTACAGTACCACATGCAGTAAAGAAAACTGCTATCACAGTTTGATTTCAATGCCACATCCTCAGACAAAATGAGGATGCTACATCTGAGTAATGTGGATGGAAATCTCACCTGCCATCCCGAAGTTAAGCTGTGGCATTTCTTCACTTTTTGTAACTTTCCTCGGGCTTGGTAAATCTTTCGCGGAGTCTGATGCAAAGGCCCATAGCTTTTTCCTGTTTGTAACCGTGGATGTCTGGGTTTTCACAGGTTTGTTTGTTGTAGGGCACCACTTGTACCCTGGATTTGCCTTCATAAATGCATCCTTGTACTAGAAAAGAAAAGGAAAGTTACCAGTCATGCCAGCCATGACATTATACTACTCACAGGGCAATAGAGTGCACTGCGTGTAAGAGGATTTAATACAGTAAATAATCCTTAAATATCTTGATTTTTTAACAGTTTAATCACATGCTTAGAGTCTGACCACAAACACAATCTATTAGGAAGAAATATGAAGATAAGTAGAGCTGTATTTAAAGAAGTGGGGTTTCTCTTTCTTCTCCTGAGGTTTTATCACCCAGAGCAGGCTGAAGTTCTGATCCTGCAAACTGCTCCCCAGCACTTGTATGCTCACTCTCTGGGAAACAAAGACAGCTATTTGAATTCTTCTGCAGGTACAATCTTTGTTTACTTTCTAGTTTGAATGAAATGAAAACATATATTTAGCAATAAAGGCAGCATGATGCTCCTTACCTTGCACTCATTTTTCTCTAACAGTTCTGTATTTTAGAATATTCGAGTATATGCTTTCCCAAACCAGGCACCAAAAATAAACCACTACCAGTATCGTCTCATTTTCAGTAACTTCTGATACATCATCCCAGTGTTCCTTCCAAAATGTACCATGCTGCATGGCTGCATAAAGTAGACTGGGACCATTTAAAACTTTCTGTGGCCTTGAGCACACAGCACACATCTCAGTTGTTTGCTGTATTCTTGGTATAACGCAGCAAAACAAACCGAGTCAGCCTACACATGGGGGTGGGGGGAAAAGGTCTGGATCCTACACAGTTCAGGGGGGTAGGGGGAAGGATGAGGACCTATTTTATTCACAAAATGCAACAGTCGTGTTCTCCAAGTATCTGGCTGACCAGACCCAAACAAGATTTGTGAATGTTAACAGCAATAAAAAGAGCACATTTCAGTATTTCAAATGTGTTGCTGTGCAAGGTGGAAAACAGGCAAATCAGAGGAACATGCCACGCATTCCAGCTGCAAATGTTTGCCTAACAACTGATAGGGGCGTAAGGCACTGGCTGCTGTGGGAGCCTGCCCAGTAAGTACCAGTGCTGACTGCAGGGAGGAGGAACCCCATACCTCCTCATGCACTAGGTAACTCTTGACAGAGGCAAACAACCGAAAGAGCGGCTTTATCCTGAAATACCTGG